AGAAGGAGAGGTGAAGGAGTAGGGAAGAAGACCAAGAGAAAGGAGAAAGAAGGGACCAGACTTTAGGCAAGAAGAGCTTCTAGGATCAAGTAAAGGAAAGGGGCTTGGAGCAGAGGCCAAGCAGGGATACAGATGAAAGGGGTAGACCTATCAGGGTTGGGAGAGCAGTAGGACCTGTGTGTGTGTGTGTGTGTGTGTGTGTGTGTGTGTGTGTGTGTGCAAGTTTTGTCTGAATAAGGAGTAAAAAGGCAAGAGCAGTAGCTAAAAGGCGAGGAGGGGCAAAGGAAGGCTTTTGTGCTTTCTTTGAAAATGGGAAAGAAGAGAGCGTGCTTATTTGCTGACAGTACTCCCAGAGGAGAGGCTGGAGATACACAAGTGAGAAGACCCAGGAGGGACAGAGATGGACAGAGAGAACTGGGGCTGGAACACAGAAGGGAGTTTTGCTTCACACAGGGGTGGAAGTGCTTGGAGTGCACAACAGAATGAAGAGGGAGCGTGAGCACTGAGACCTCACTGAGAGCTTTAAGCACCATGCCACAGTGTGTTACCGGTGTGTGGGTGTTTGTGTGCGTCCTCACTGTGGGACACTCAGCTCTGCATTTGTGGGAGCATCTCCATGAACCTGTCTGTGAGCTCACAAATCCTCTTACCTCTTTGCCATTCCAGACCACTTAAAGGTTGTTAGGGCTTTTGTATGGGGGTGGTGATAGGACTGAGATGGGAAGTTCAGGGCTAGGCGCAGGAGAGAGGCCTCGTGTATGTGAGGTCCTGTAGGTGGTACCCTGGACACTTGGTGCCTGTCCCTCCTGGAGATGGATGGCCCATCTTCTATTGCTGCTGTTCAGTCATGATTCAGCATGGAAGCAAAGGGAGATGAGAGTGGAGGATGTGGAGAGATAAGGCAAGAGCCTTCTGCCTCTAGGAATTATTCTGTCTATCCCCTCCCAGACGAACAGCATGTCAGTGAGACACTTGCGTAGGCAGGCATCACCTCCCCGATCTCAGGCCCGCCTGGAGCCAGTTCAGAGTAATAAGGATCCTCATCATAAATGATAGACCTCCTCTCCATCCCCCTCACCAAAATCCATTCCAAAATTCAAGTGTCCCAGTGTATTCCGACGAAGGATCTCCCAGCCCCGGTGACTACTGCTGCTTCGGGAAGTAGTCCGGGACAGTGGGGGACTTGGGACAGTCAGGGAGCCTCTGGTTAGAGCCCCACTCTCAGTCAAAGAGTGCTGCTTCTCTGAAAGATGCTCTGGGCCATCCTCCTTTTCTGAGCTCTTGAAAGCTTCCACATAGCGAAGAACTCGCAGTGGATTCTGGTCATGGTGGTTCTCGACCCTGGGGAGAAGAAAGGACTCAGTTGAGGTGGGAAGAGATAGGTAGAAGGAGAGGTGAAGGAGTAGGGAAGAAGACCAAGAGAAAGGAGAAAGAAGGGACCAGACTTTAGGCAAGAAGAGCTTCTAGGATCAAGTAAAGGAAAGGGGCTTGGAGCAGAGGCCAAGCAGGGATACAGATGAAAGGGGTAGACCTATCAGGGTTGGGAGAGCAGTAGGACCTGTGTGTGTGTGTGTGTGTGTGTGTGTGTGTGTGTGCATGTATGGTGCTAATGTGTGGAAATGTGAGGGAGAAAGTAGAGCCAATTAAGAGCTAAAGATTGCCTCTCCACAAGGATGAGGAGATGCAATTCAGGATCTTGAAGGGAGAGAAGTGAAATGTGAAGGGAGAGAAGGGCCAGGTCAGAGGTGAGGGTAGAGTAGGAAGGAGGAAGTTCAATTCAAGGCCTGAGAATACTGGAAATTGAGGTCAGGTAGGAATAAGACTAAAATGAGTTGGGTCGCCCACACTCACACCTAAGCACAGACTCATAGACACAACCTTTCCCACATGGCTGCCCGGCATCTGCTGTCCACATTCTTTTTATTCCTCCACTTTCCCTCCAACCTCAAGGCAGGCCAGTGCCCACTTCTGCTGTCTCCTGCTGGCCCTAGCTGCCCTGGCCCCACTTACCGCAGGAACCAGCGGTCCCCCAGCCCATACTCGCACCCACAGGTCCCGGAGCGAGGCCACAGGAAGCGGGGCATCTTCCTCTCCAGCATCAATGTTGTAGCCACAACCTGAAAGAGAGCAGTAGAGAGAGACTTGGACCCAGGAGGTTCAGAGAGACATCAGGGCCACAGACAAAAGGAGCCAGAAGCAACCTGTGAGGATGAGGAGACCAGGGACTGAATGGTGGTGAGAGCAGCTACTCACCCTTACACCCCTCATCCTGAACCAGGCACCAAGCTACAGGCTCTACACATCAGAAAAGAGAGGACATTTTATGAGCATTTTGAGTAAAACAGTGACCCCTACATTCAGATTTATGGAAAATGAGTCATTCCAAACCAAACTCATTTCCTTTTTCAGGAAAGCCATAGACCAATTACCTTATTTAAATCATTGATTTAAATAAATGATTAAATAGAATCTCTATGGTCTCGGAGATGAAATGCTGCTGCCTGTTTATAGATCTTGCAGCAAATTAAATATCCACGTTTTAAGAAGGAAAGGGATTGATTAATGACTGCACACTTGGCAGGGGCATTTCTAGTAGCCTGTCACTTGTTCTGTTCTTTGCCCAGCCTGCATTAATTACTTGGATGAGATGTAGCAGACAGGCTTATCGAATATGCCTGTGACGTCAAACTGGGAGGGATGTGTAATGTGTGGGGTGACAGAGCAGTATAAAGTGATCTCACCAGACTGGAATGCCTAACACCAATAACATAAACCTTAAGAGAATTAAATTAAGGTTCTTCATTTATGTTTAAGGAAGTCATGTAACAAACAAGCAGCAGTTCTAGTTGATCTTAAGCATTAGAAGGCTGCTTGTGTATTTGCTAAAAGACCTAACTCAATTTTAAGAGCTATGTCCAATATAAGGAAAAGCAGACCCTATATTATACTGTATTATTCTAGTCACAACAGGTACCATTCTAGTTTCAATAGGACCATGATCCATTAGCGTAAAGCAGAAGGATGAAATATGAATGGGTTGGAACTAGAAAACCTTAATACACAGACACACACACATAGACAGGAAAGTCATGATGCATTTTTACATAGAAAAACACTTTTCTGACGGCCTTCATATATGTGTATATATATATATGTATATACATACATGCACACATATATATATATACACACACAATACATATATATATATAAAGCTATATATTATAGTAATTTATATTATATATATTAAAAAAATTATATATAAAGGCATATATATATATATATATACACATTGGCTATAGGATATGTATGCTCACTGGAGAAAGAAAAGTTGAGAAAGTACCCCCTGGGGGGCATGGACATATAACAATTTTTTCTCCTTTCTCCTCTTGAGATTTTGGGCATGCACACACATGTACCTGGTATGTTTTTCAAACCACTGAGTCCAGGACTCAATTGCACAGTCAGCCATGTGGGATCTAGCCACCTTAACCACCATACCACTTTGCTGGTTCCAGAAACTCTTATTAATAAAAGGAGTTAACAGTTCTTAAAAGAGCCAATGTTCCAGTTTGTGTTCTTTCACACCTGTCTTTTTCATTCCTCCACACTTCTCTTGGCTGGTTTCTAGGTGCACCTAGTTTCCTCCTCCC